GCAGTGACGGCAAAGAAATGTACAAAAAAGCGTGATGCACGTGCAAAATTGTTGTTTTGCTAATTAAACCTATTGCTTTTGTGATGTTCCCGTTGCCGTCGCCGTTGTCGGATCTTAAGGTCCCTATTACTTCCGCCACGGGCCGAATAGGTGCTCACACTGCACCAACGTTAATGGCACAAAACCTATTCGATATGTGACGCTCCACTTTTGAGATCGGCGCTGCACAGGGCGTCAGCTTTGCTCCGTCACAGAAATCGCGCCACCACAACCGTTCTTAATTTGCGTGTGAACAGAAGCCCTCTCCCGTATGATTTTCGAGGCAGCGCAAAAGCTATCGGGTATAGCGTCACGTTATGGCCGCCAAAATAAATAATAAGCGGCCAAATGGCATGATTATAATCATCATCATTATCATCATCATCAGCATCATCATCATCATCATCACTATTCAATTTTCATTATTTTTGATGACAATCTCGGAAAAATACCCAGCGTTTTGTTTTCGCCTTTCTATCAAATTAGGTAATATAGTATTAAACACTTTTAAGGAGTATCATAGAATTTTGAAATTTCATGAAATTTCCTCTGTAAGGAAAAAGAGACCAAAACTGAAAGCACCAACTGTCCTACATTCGTGCAAAACTACTCTTTTAATTCAGCGAACAGCTTTGAGTGCTTTTTTCAAATTTGTCACACATTTATCAAATAAGACCTTCTGAATATAAATATAAAACTTATACTATTATATGACCACTATATCAAATATCTATATCAAATAAATAACTATAACTGCTACTCTGTCAAGTTCTTTTCATCGCTATAGGTTCAATTGGAATTGGAAAACTTCAATACAAAATTCAGGCGAACTTCAGCTGCAGAACAGGTGTCAAAGCCAAACTGACGTGACAAATCAAATGCAGTTTGCGCATGCGAAATAGCATCAACCGTACGCTGCTCCCGGAAGTATTGGTCCGAACGAGCAAAGTGATACTGAACTTGTGCAGTCTTTGTCATTTCCGTAACGGAGGGGAGTTTTAGGCTCTTGAGACACTGCCTTGCCTCAATAAGTGTTTTTTCATTCCCTAAGTTTCCGCCCGGTCCGTAATCTTTGGAAAAATGAAGAAGAAGCATAGCTTTCTTCGTCACTGCCAAGTCGTGCGTTCTTAGCAGTAGACGACTGTCGGGGCTTTCTTCTAAACCAAGGCTGCATAACTCGATAGAGCTGTCAAAGCAACGCCTGGATTCTTCCGCCATGGATGATAAGTGAGACTGTCGGAGAAGCAGGCTGCCCTCTTCGTAAGCAAGGCAGGCACGGTCTAAAAGGTAGGATGTGTTCTTTAGATACTTCTTCGCAGACGTGATGCATCGCTGTGCTTTACCAAGTGCCAGCTTATCTCTTCCGTAAATCTCCGCCAGATAGGTATTCGCCCGACCTTTCCACAGGGATACCAAGCTAGAAGATTCCTGCCGAATTTTCAACGATGCTTTCTTAATAAAATCCTCCGCAGACGTTTGGTCGTTTCGAAAGCAAGCAGCCTTTCCTTGTTCAAGAATGACAGTAATCAGAAGGCTATTGCAGTCAAAAAAATTCCTAAGCAACTGATCAGCTTCGCAATCGAATTCTTTCCATTTTCCGTTATCGCGTAAATCTCCCAAAACTTCCATAATTCTCAGGCTCTGCTCATAGACCGAACCGTCAACTTCCGCCTGAAGTGGTATTTCTTTTGACATAAATTGGGAAGCCTGACCTAATAACCGCGCTTCACCATTGCAATAATCCCTTTTAAGTAAATGACTTCGTTGACTTTTCCTTTTAGGTGGTGCACGTGTTTGTTTGTGTTTTGCAGTCGTCATGTGATTATATCCCTGAAGCTCCTCCCCGGAAACTGATTTCGTTTCTTCCGAAACGGGCAGACACGGTTGCTTTTCGTTTTTGTTTGGTGAAAACTGTTCGCTTGCTTCGACAGCTTCGAGTTCGTTACCCCCCTCCGGAAGTGACGTGGGGTTACTATGAATTTCACCCGGAAGTGATATCTCTTCAGGGATCTCCTTGGCGGGCCATAAAGGTTTTCTGTCTCGTTTCCTTTTAGGTGATGTTTGTTTACGTTTTACAGACGTTACGTGATTACATCTCGGAAGCTTCTCTCCGGAAAATATTGTTTCGTCCGAAATGGACAAGCATGGTTGATTTCCGTTATCTTTCAGTGAAAACTGTTCGCTTCCTTGAATTGCTTCATGACTTCCTTCCGGAAGTGACGTAGGTTTACTGTGAATTTCACCCGAAACTGATTCCCCTTCACGGACCTCCCTGTTGGGGTATAACCGTTTTCTGTCTCTTGATGGCCGTGGACGCTCTCGTTTGCTTGTTTCGACAGCAATATCTAGATGTACCTCATCCAGAAGGATCCCACTTTGCTGACTTCTAGTTTCTTTCTCCCACAATGAAAAAGTAATGATGTATCTTTTATTGGCGGTGTGGAAACGGAACCAAAACCCAACTAAACCTCGAAGATTTTCGAAACTAGCATCGCGTTTGAACATCACTCCTTCTTTGACGTCCATTTTCTCATATTGACTTCTTTCTGTTACCGTCACGTCAACATCGTAGAAACCTTTCATTTTCTTCGATCGGGCCAAGGATAAGCCACATGAGCTTTTACAAAAGATTATTCCCTGTTGCCTCTTTATTTTATCCTCAAAGCAGTATTCAAAAGCTCGGCCATCAAAGCGATTCTTGCAAATTTCAAGCACTACCCAATGATCTCTCTCGAAGTTTGGAAAATCGTTTGTATTAAGAGAAACTGAAACAAACTTCGGAGGCGACCAGAGTACACGAAGGATTGGCCGAGTACTGTCAAACACATCGCAAAACCCCTCTCGGGAGTTAATAACAGCTTTATTCCAGTCTCCGATCTGAGCATCGCTGGTGTGGATTTGAGAATCAACTGTAATCCCTAAGGAAGAGTCTATGGAAGGATTTTCATCCGACGGTGGAATAATCCTGAAAAAGTCGGCACAAATGTTAATCGATGGAAAAGTAACGCTTGCATCTCCTTTCAAGATAAATTCTTCGGGTTCACCATTTCTCGGTAAGACACGAATAACCAATTCGTCGTCGTCGGATACTTTCGTGAGCAGTTCGGAAATATCATCGGGCATTGCGAGGTCAACGACATTAACATGAAAATTGTTATGATCTCCCAATTGTAAACAAACAGTCTGGGCTTTGACTATAATACGTCCTTGTCGATGTTTCAGCAGTAAGAGTTCTTTGTCATTTTTCGCCTTGCATTTGGGCAGTAAAACCTCCACTACATGTCCTCTTATTTTACTTTTTGAGATGGACTCACAAACCAAAGCCCTCCGTCCACCTTGTCGAAGAGACATTTCTTACTACGCAATAGTTAGTCTGTCCGTTTCAAACACGTATACAAACCTTCTATTTCGCTTGTTTTCGTTTCCTTCTTTCAGTTGAAAGACAATAATTTGTTTTAGACGACTTAGAAGCCCCGACTCGTTTCCAATAGCATACGAACTTGACTTGTGTTTGGCGCTAACATATGTTAGTCTTAGGCAGAGCACTGTTTATGTTTTTGGCAGAGACTTTAACCCATGACGTCACTGTTCGGGGATTCCCCGCTCGCTCGCGAAGTCAAAATGAAAGAGAACCACATCCAGACCATCATCTGTCGCGACGCATTCGAAGCTGATGATTCGAAGGTTCAGTCCAAAGGCTATTAGATGGCTGGATTATAAGTACAGCCTACTCGTGCACGTCAAGCCCCCTTCACTTGGGCATTTTTTGGGTGGGTATGTGCCGCCCGGGACTCCAAATTGGCACCCTGTTCGAAAAAAATTTCCCCCACAATTGATACCCCTTTCTTGAAATGGGCCAATTTTTTATACCCCGTTCTAGAATTCGCCTTAAAACTGATACCCCGTTCTAGAAATGGGCCAATTTTTTATACTCCGTTCCGAAGTTTGTAAAGTGAAATAGCCCTGTTTTTTTAAAAAAGATATTTCTCTATTTGTTCGATTTATACACCAAATAAATGCTTCTTCATAATCAGCAACAATTTTAAGCAGAAGATAAAACCGTGATCCACAATTTTTTATACCCCGTTCTAGAAAACGCCTCTGAAATGGATACCCCGTTCTAAATCAGGAGCTTCAAAATCACGATCCCGTTGGGCGGCGCATACCCGTATAGGTAATGTGTGGGAGTTGCCTCCCCGGGACTCAACGTCATAAAAAAACTGATGAGAGAGTGAAATGTCACTCAAAACATCTTTTTGTGATCCCTTAAATAAACTACTTGATATTTATATTTAATTTTCTAACGTTTGATACGCGATACTTGCAAACGGGCCAATAAACCCTGTTTAAGCTTTGGTGTGAATGGGTCTTTCGACTTCTGCTTTTATGTTTTATGGAGAACGTAAACACGAGACCGTCCGAAGATTTTTATTTTCTTTTTCTGAGCTTCAGGATACGATACTTACGAATTCTACTCTAGGAAAATTCACCAACATTTGACAATTTAAGCGAGAATGAGGTTTGAATCAGCGGCAAACTATGTTTTAGGTAACGTTTTCGCTGCCATCACATGCGCTGAATTTCATGCTAATGATCACTGTAATGATGGAAAATCTATTTTTCTCGCTCATTTGCATTTTTTTTTGAGATTCGTTTCAAGCAAATGGAAGGCGCCTTCCATCCGCCCAGTATTGGTTTCTCTTCTGACCGAACTCGAGAGGTCATTAGACCGAATTAACGTATTCGTCTTAAGCACGGCAGTAGCAGAACATCGTACTTAAAGTCGATTTGTTTTTGACAAAATCTGTTTTATTCGACTGTATGGTTATGAGTGACATTCGAGCCAGCCACGCACTCGACACGCACGGCAGTAACACAACGTTTGAAACGGGCCTAAGGCTCATGTTTGATACATGACTTGTCAAGACCTATATATATACCTAGAATGTCTTAGAAGTTACCTCTGACTGAATTTCTACAGTTTGTTATTTGTTTGTTTATTGTTATTTTAAACCCTGTTTCATGATCAGTTGTGAATACTAAAAATGTCGCGTCCCTTTGACCAATGTCTTACTCATTATTTATTCATTCAGTAAGAACGCCATCGACATTGATTCAGGCTAGTTCGATCGAATACTCTACTCAACAGCTGTCAACTGATTTGCCAAAATAATTGATAAGAATATCTATGGCATATGGCTTTGATTCGTCCCTTCAGGCTCCAGCGCCCTCCCTACTCCTCTCAGCAATGATGCGCCCCAAAAGGACTCATTTACTTCCATTGAGGTCAATTCAACATTGTTTGGGCTGGAAGGGGGAGGTCTTTAGTTACCAATCTCACTGGAAAAGTCCCAAAACTTTTGGCCTTTATTAATGCGCGAAAACAGAACAGTAATAACTGTTCCCTAAAAAGACCTCGATTATCAAAACTTATCCGCGGCTTCTGTTTGATCAATTAATCACAGGCTCCTTGTATGGAAAATTATTGATTGTAATCGAAGACATTGATTTCAATCAAGCAAGTACAACTTATCGCAATTATTGATTCAGCATTGCTAAACCATTAATGTTTGTTTGATTGTTCGCTCTACAGTCATGATTGATTTTTTTTACTAGAGTCAAATACTATGCACATGATGGCTATTCACCTAAGAGATTGGAAGATCTGAGTTCCAATACTGATCTCCCCCATCGTTTTGGTTGGCGACGGTTTATTTAGTACTGGCAGGCAAACGAGCATTGTGTGACCGGTCACTAATCAGTGGCCTTCAAAATCTTTTGCCAATCCGACTCAGAACCTGATAGGCTAATATCTGAGCTGATATCACCATACTCTCCCTCACTAGCACTTGCGCCACCGGCCACGTACGAAGGACTGGCATTATGAGCTCCAAGCGTGACGACACGCATGTGATCGAGTCGTTCTTGTGCGTGAGAAATTTCCGTGTTGAAACCCAGATGTACGGCTCTGTCCTTCGCTAAACTGGCAAAATTTTCAGCGCTTTGATAGTTTCCCTTTCGGTATTCTAAGTCTGAACTTGCCAGGTAGAACTGAACTTTGACTCCTTCTGCGATCTGCGACCAGTATTTGGTTTCCAGTGTCTTCAGACACTTCTCGCCTTTTGCTATGAACTCTTCGCTCAGAACACGTTCACGTGCGGCCTCTGTGCGGCAATCGAGCAAAAGCATTGCAATTTTTATGAAAGCGAAGTGATGTTTCTTCACATACAATTCCTCATCTTGCATTTCAACGCTCAAACACACATCGATACACTTTTCCAAATTGCGTAAAGCCTCCTCGACTTGTTTGGGGCTCCGTTGAGACAGGCGGCCGATGAAATCTAGCAACACGCTCGCTCTCTCGTAAACAATGAAGCTCGCATCAAGGCCTGTGTGACACGCGCGAATGTTTTGCTCTGCCAACTGAACGTCCTGTTGAGCTTCGCCAAGGCTCCCCTGACGTCTCTTGACACCAGCGCGGTAGCCGTGGCCCCTTCCAGCTAAAAGTCGGCGGTTAGTGGCTCCCGACATGAGACTGAAGGACTCGTCTATTAGCTGTAACGAGGGTTCCAAATCGTTCTTGTAACAGGCCGCCACACTCTGCTCCAATTTAATGGCAACAATTGTGTCCGTATCTGAATATGACAGCAAAAGTTCATTTGCACGATTGTTGAAATCAGTCCACCTCGCATTGTCACGAAGCGATTGTAACTCTTTCATCACCCACATAGATCGCCTAAAAAGCTCCATACCTTCTTCAGTAAGCGAGGCAGGTTCCAACTCAGACTGTGGGGTCACATTTCTTGTTGCCAGAGCCTTTCTATGCTTCCGTGAGTTACACTGTCTCGACCCCGTTTCCAGTTGGATTGTAAGCTCGCTCACCGTTTTCCACAAGCTTTGTTGTTTTTTACGTTTCTTTTTACTCTTCTTCGTCGTTGGACCGGTTTTCAGAGCGAAAGTGACCAAGTACTTGGTGTTTGGTTCATAAAAACGGAAGAGAAACCCGGCCACACCTGCCATGGATAGTTTCAAGCCTTTTTCGGTTTCAGTTTTGATACGCATGTAGTCGCAGTCGACTGGATAACTGAGTTGGCCATCGTTCCGAGCAATTGTCACTGCTATGTAGTAATTCTCTGAAATGTCGAGTGTTTCTCTCGTTTTTTGATTCTTGCAGACTAAGAGCTGAACCAAGTGGTCGTTTTTACAATCAGGGAAGCAGCATCGACTTCGTCCCACGCGCAGTAAGCCGTCGGGTTTAAAATATTCTTTCAGCGTCGGTGCCTTTTCACCTTCGTCGTCTGTGCCACTAAGAGAAGCAGGAATCGTGTCCATTGAACCGATAAATATGCCATTTTCGCGTCCAATTTGCATGACTCGTGCATCGACGTCGAAAACGTACGCATCATCTCCTCCTGCTTGCTTTATTTTTCCAATTCCGCCGTCGTTTACTTCCCCAATCTTTTCTGGTGGAGACTCGATCAAATCACTGTTTTTACCTTCAACTTGTTTTAAATCTTGAAAACAAGTTGTCATCTCTCTTCGTAGTCAAGTTACTCCAATTTTTAAAGACTCGAATTAGAATGATACAAAGTATGAAATAATATCTATGCAATGAACTTTCGATTTCAAAAATATGTTGCCCCTGCCTGTTTGTTTTTGATAGCACGTCACGCGGGCAGGGCCCGAAGGGGATTCCCCGCTTGCTTTCGACTCCTTCCGAAGTTTCCACGAACCACAGACGTTCTCCCGAACACAAGTACTTTACCCACAATTCAACGGAGCTACATCGACAGATTGCAATCGAGGCTGGGAGGGAGTGGATTCAATTAGACGCGGAGCAGTAGAATTCGCTTCCTACAAGTTTATTGTTCTCCATTCTGCACCAGCATGGTAAAATCTCACGATTTGCACTGTGAAGTTCAACTGCTAGATGATGAAAGTACCACTGTGGACCTAGACGTAAGATTTTTACGTTTTCTTAGGGGGCCTTTCGTGTTTTAAAATGGCGCTCGAGTCGAGCAAGTCCTGTAACTTCTGTTTATTTAAGGTTTTAATTTGTAGTTTATTGTCTGTCGGATCAAACGGTCTTAATGAGCCAAAGGTTTTAATTTCTAAACTTCCCTGTTTATGAGAAGATTAGTAGAAGGTCTATAATCGATAATACTCGGTCAATTAATTTTTGGTTTCTCTCGTGATCAGTCAATGACATCAACGTGTTTGTTCGGTCCCTTCCAAAGGGAAATTCATTATTTCAAAATTTGATTCTGCAAGCTCAGGAAACCCGCGCATTGTTAATAACTTACATACTTCCTTTCTTTTCTTGTTGATGTTTTATAATTTTGAAGATGTCTTTACGTCCTTCCAGGTTGTTATAGGTTTTCTCTAGTCCTCGCTAAGCGAGAAGTTCTCAGACGAAATGAATCAGGTTAACGAATTAAAAAAAGAAAAACAATTACATTTTAAGACACTTGAAGAAGCCATTGTGGCAATGATTTATAATTTTCTGTGTATTTGAAACTTTCATTGCTTCTTAATACGGAACTTTTACAGTAGATTTGCATTATTTTCCGTCATTATATTGCTGAGGTCTTTACAACTGTTTCACGAAGCTTATGTTTTTAAACCGTATTTATAAATATTTTGGTTACCTACAGTGTATGTATTGTATTTTACAAAATAGCCGCTTGGTAATCTTTCTTTTTCCGAAGCAGTCGTTTGGAAATTTATCTTTTTCGTTCTGATTGTGATGAAAGCTGTTGTTTAATCCTTGACAGGACAATTACAAGCATTGTTAACAGAGACGATCAATTAAATATTTTGGAAACATTTTCGTACAGCCCTTTTTGTTTGTTATGTATGCAGCAATTATTTCATGGTCCTACAGTGAATATGAATTCATGGAGTGGAAAAATGTTTACATAGCAAATGTATATATGGGGCTGCGCGGAAATCTTATCAGTATACATGTATAAATTTGTGGTTGGATAGGAGGAATATTCAATGAGTTTATAAATATTGTGCTTTTTTAGAGGAGGAAGTGTATTGTGAATTTTGTGTAATTGTACTTATAATCTACTAGGTTGAGAAAAAACATGTTTGTCCTTATTTCACCTTAACCTTTTTCTTTGAATTGTCAAAGTGGGTAGTGATTATCTGCAGTTAACTCTATGACAGTCATATGCAATAGGCATCTTTCACTAAAATGGATACCTAGGGTTGGTCCCTGCCTTTT